TACCGATACAGAGCTGATGTATCGATATACTCCTGGCTCCAAGAAACATCGAATGTAATTAGTGTACCAATACACTTGGGATGTACCGATACACTAGGTCAACCAACGGTCGAAATGTTTAAATTTTACATTGAGTGTACCGATACACCTAAGCTCCCAACAGATTTTTTAAATGGTATTCACACCATAACGGCTCTATTGACTTCACCAATGATCCCAAACGTTTAGAAGTGATCCAAGGTGTATTTAAACAAGCTCAGGAGCCCTTGATCAACAACAAGAAACAAGAATTAAGAGAGAATCAAAGAGAAAGCATCAAACCTCAAGTTTGAGCATTTCAAGCCTAATTTTCATTCAATATTCATATTGCTTTCAAGAACACCATTTGTGCTCAATTGTATTCATTCTTGAGTGTTCTTTCTTTGTTCTAGAATTGTGCAAACAATTTGTCTTGTGAGATTTTTCTGTAAGTTTTCAAAATTTGTATTCTTCTCTTTGGGAGAGAGTGTTCTCAAGAATTTGGGATATAATTCTTGAGGGAGTTGTAAGGTTACTCTCTGTCCTCAAAATAAAGAACAAATTAGTGAATTTTCTAGAAAATCCTTAGTGTGGATAGCTAAGGTAGTGGACGTAGAATTTGATTGAGAAAGTCGAACCACTCTAAATCGATGTGCAAATATTCTCAATTTTCTGCAAAAGTTTTCACCGAAATTTTTATTGCCAGTTCACCCCCCCTCTTGGACGATTCATTGATCGATTAACTCAACAACATTTAGCCACAAGTTTTGCCTTGAACCTCTCAACTTCACCCGAGGCTCTAAAATTTACTCTAAACACCCATTTACATCCAATGCACACTTTACATGTACGTAAAGGAACAAGCGACCAAGTTTTATTTAATTCAAGAGCCTAAATTTCTTCATGCATTGCCTTAACCATCGAGAATCAGATTGAGCTTCTTGAAAATTTTTGGGTTCAAGAGAATTAAAAACAGAAAAGATAAAGGACTGTGTATGCTATTGTAAATGAGAATAAGAAATATGGCTAGATATGGGACACTAACCTGAAAGATAAGTGGATTAGCAAGTATGAACATAATCACTCAACCTAGATGGAGGTTTAGAAACTCTATAAGAAGTCCTAGTAGACACAGAACTAGGAACAGAAACAATAGGAACAATATATGCTGAATCATTAGAAATATCACCTGAAATACTTGGTTAAGGATTAATATGAATATCTAAAGAATCTGAAGGAGAAATTAACGCAGGTTGAGTAGATGAATGAGAGGCTGGAATATTTGGTGAAGGAAATGAGAGTTGTAAAAAATCAGAATAAGAAATATCAGGATTCGAGGGAGGAAAGAAAGAAGGATAAGATGAAGCAAATTTAAAAGGAAACACATCTTCATGAAAGATAACATCTCTGTTAACAAAAAAAAATTTAGATTCAAGGTTGAAAAGAATGTATCCTTTTTGAGTAGTTGAGTAACCAAAGAACACATAAGGAATGACTTTTGGGGAGAACTTATCAATATATTTTGGTTTAGTTGCATAACACAAACAACCAAAAACTTTGAGATTAAACAAATTTGGTGGCTTATGATAAAATATCTCAAATGGTGTCTTCTTTTGAATCACAGATGATGGGATCCTATTAATGAGGTAATAAGTAGTGAGCACACACTCACCCCAAAATTTAAGAGGAACATTAGATTGAAAACGTAAGGCACGGGCAACTTTTAAAATATGTCTATGCTTTCTTTCAACAACCCCATTCTGCTGAGGGATGCCAACACAATAACTTTTATGAATAATGCCAAGAGAAGAAAAGAAAGGAGAGCACTCAGAATTAAAAAACTCAGAGCCATTGTCACTTCGAATTATTCTAACTGAGGCATAGAATTGAGTTTAAACCACAGAAAGAAAATGTTTGAGAGATGAAATAACATCATTCTTATACTTCAACAGATATAACCAAGTCATCCTAGTATGATCCTAGTATGATCATCAACAATAGTTAAAAACGATGACCATTATGTGTAGAACCCCTATATGCACCCCATAAATCAATATGAATGAGATGAGGACAAATAACCTAGAAGTGCTCATCAGAAAAGGTAACCTAGTTTGTTTCACTAAAGGGCAAACAAAACATTTGTGAATAATATCCTGTTGAAACTTAACAGACTACAAAAAATCTATTTTATTTATCTTGGAAAAGGAAGCATGCCCTAGTCTGTCTAGCATGCCAAATACAAGTAGCAGAATCGGCAGAAGCCATACAATAAGCATCAATGAAGAATAAAGAATGATTCAAAGCAGGAGATGAAAAAACAAACAAGCCATAATCAAAATAAGAGGACTCAAAAAAGTACAAGCCTCTAGATTCCCTTCATCTTTCTAGTGGAGAGATCCTACAGAAGACAAAAATCATGATAAAAGGTAAAAAAAACCAAGATCACGATTAAGCCGAGAGACTGAAAACAGGTTATGTTTGAATTGTAGAACAAAAAGGACATTTTCAAGTTTACATTCTGAAGTAAGGAAACAATATCCAAGGTGACTAATAGGAACATTTTTACCATAAGGAAGATGTATGAAACGTGTAGAAGAATCACAAGAAATAGGACAATCCAAGCTTTTAAAATCAAATAAAATGTGGTATGTAGCTCATGTGTCAACAATCCATTTAAGTGAAACATTAGAATGTAATGAACTATTAGCAAAAATACATGCAAGATTAATAGCAAAATCTGCAGAAGGTGGCTTGTTCAATAGCTATAAATTATGGTCATATTGCTCTTGAGTGAATACTGGAGCAGAAGGAGTAGACGTATGACGAGTAGAATTAGGTACATTTTCGATAGATACACTTTAATTTGCCATAACACCAGAACCTCCTTTCTTTTTATTGAACTTGTAATTCGAAGGAAATCCAATTAAGCGATAACATTGATCTTTCTTGTGGCCTTTAACTTTGCAGTAATCACAAGTGCCAGAAAAGCGTTTACGATCAGAAGAAGTACCAGAATTAGAGAATAAAGCCATCGTATCAGGTGCATCAACCACAGAGATATGAGATCTTTGTGATTCTTCTTAAATCAACATAGAGTAGGCTTGATTTACAGTTGGCAGAGGCTGCATGAGCAAATTTTGACTCCGAATCGCCGAATAAGAGTCATTAAAACCCATCAAAAACTGAAACAACTTATGTTGAACTAGATGTTTCATGTTTTGCTGGGAAACTTCACAATCACAAGTAGTGAAAGGAATCAAAGACTCATATTCATCCCAAAACATCTTCAAACGAGTAAAAAAACTAGAAACAATAGACTCGCCTTGACAAAGCATATCAATCTCACGATGCAAAAAAAAAGATACGAGAACCATCAACTTTATCAAATCTTTCCTTTAGATCGTTCCAAACAGAGGCAACACTGAAGGCAAACACCAGCCCAACTGATAAATCCTTGGTAACAGCGTTCAGAATCCAAGATAGAACAACATCATTACAACGATCCCATTATACCTGCAAAGCGTCACTGTAAGGACTTTACTGACAAGTACCGTCGATAAACCCTAGCTTATTCTTAGCAAGTAACACAATCTTCATTGAACGGCTTCACACACTGTAATTGTCCAAATCAACCAGCGGTTGAGAAACGAGCAGTAGCCCAGGCATATCTAACGGATGCAGGTATAATAGGTGAGTGAAATCGATCTCCTCGGCAGAAGGCATTGTTGACAAAGAAAAAGAGAAACGAAATAAAAAAATTGGAGAAAACTGTGCAACTATCGGAAACGAGGAGAATGAAAAAAACCAAAAAAGAATGCCCAAAAACTAATGAATCGGAAGTAAAAGGATCGAAATTAAGTCTGATACCATGTTAAAAATACTTCTAATTCATTATGCACTTATCAATGTATACAAAATATATATATATATATATATATATATATATATATATATAGTATTAATAATAAAGTAAATGCCTAACTAACTCCTAACTACACAATAACAACCAACTAACTTTTCTATACCCAACACTTTATTTTTTAAAATTTTTGGAATGAACACGATAGAATGACAATTTATTCGTCTTGTTGAGATTGTTGCGGTAATTTTGGATGACTGTTTTGTCATAGTGACAGTGACGCATCTGATAGTTGAGAGGATTCAGTCAATTTTTTATGGATAGTTTTGTTGTACGACAGTCTTAATATACGACTACGAAAAGGATTTACCGAAAATGTTAACATCTCCGATAAAACGTTACCTAATACATTATTTTTTTTACCAAAAATGTTAATTTTACTACCTAATTTCCGGTAAAAAAATAAAATTTTAGGTAGCATACAATTTTAATATTTCCTGTAGAAAAAATAATGTTTTAGGCAACGTTTTACCGGAAATGTTAAACATTTTAAGTAGCGTCTAATATTAACATTTATGGTAAAAAAAATAATATTTTGAGTAGCGCTTTATTAAAAATGTAAAAAAATATTAATATTTCCAATAATATTTTTCTTTAACTATATATTAAGATTATCGTATCTTATACATCCCGAACTTTTACGATAGTTTGGTTCTCCAAATCTTGATTTATACGTTGCATGTTTTCACCTCGTTTAAGTGAAATGACTCCTTCCTGTCAATGCTCACATATGAATCTTTGCTGTTCGTCACAAGGCTAATACGACTGCGCATGAGCTTACTTACTGGGTGTCCTCCCATAGTCAATCTTACTATTTTTTACTCTTTTCTGAAATGTACTGCTTATATTGTTGTTTCAGATACCATTATCGGCTAATGCATTAACATAACGTATCCTTCAAATAAAATAAAATCAAATTGGGTAAAAAAATTAAGTACTAAAGTAGGAAAATGCATATAATCCAATGGTTAAATCTCGAATAAAGCCAACTAAATTTGTTAACTTTAGACGTGGTATAATTGAAAACTAAGTCAAGGTTCGAAATACAAATTCCGAGAAAATAAAGGACTAAAAAGTAAAGTCTCTTTGCGTGCGCGCCAGTCAGAGAAGAAGAAAACAGTAAACTCGCTGAGTCTGACACAGCCTGAAGAAAGGCAAGAGAAAGGAGCTCTCCAAGTTCAAACAAAATCGGGCATTTGTCTTAAAGTCGGTGGCAAGCTAGCTAGGGTTCCGAAAGGAAAGAGGAAAAGCAAAAAAATGGAGAAAGGAGGGGAAGAGCATGGGTATTCATATTCGTATTACAGGAGACAAGAGCGCATTGCATTGGTAGTCATTATAGTGCTTGCTTCAGTGGCTGTTGCTTCGCTTTTAGTGGCTTTTAGCTACTATTGTTATATTCGTAACAAGGTCCTCTCTAAGCGCTCCAAATCCTACTCTACTAGTAAGTGTTTCTTTCCTCACTGATCCCATGACTGCATAATATGTTTATACATTTGATTCATCTTGTTCAGTTTCTTATGATTTGGTAAGTTGATTAAACGCTTTTGACCAGAGTTATTTTGGGTGTTTGGGGACTTGGGATTATGATGGTTTGAAGGGAAAAAGTATAAGTAATCATCAGAAAAAGTGAAAATTGTTGCTTTTAGTACGAATGTTGCCTTTAATGTAACTTGATAAATTGTTGGGCTTTTTTCACTGAAGGGATTGGTTCGAAGGACAAAGCTTGCAATGCCGATCTTGAAGTTGCTATGGATGAAGGGCTTCATGTCTTTACTTTTAAGCAGTTACATTCGGCTACTGGTGGTTTCAGCAAGTCTAATGTGGTTGGCCATGGTGGATTCGGGTCTGTATACAGGGGAGTGCTTAGTAATGGCAGGAAAGTTGCTGTGAAATTGATGGATCAGGAAGGAAAGCAAGGGGAAGAAGAATTTGAAATGGAGGTCCACTATGAATATCATTTTGATTTCTCTTTCCGGGATTCTGATATCTGCATTTCAAATGTGCCATGCTAACCAATCATCATTACATGATTCTGTTTACCTCTCATTCTTTACATTTCTGCTGGAAAAAAATGTATAATGAGAGTTAGCTAAGATGTGATATCCTTTGCATTAACTTTCCTTTTACTTCTGGTCAACTAGTTTAGACTATGGATGTAATTTTTGGGGTGAGTTAATATTGATTGATTGACCCTACCTGATTGTAGGTGGAACTGCTGAGACGGCTACGTTCTCCATATTTGCTGGCTTTGATTGGTTATTGCTCGGATAGCAGTCGTAAATTGCTTGTTTATGAGTTTATGGCGAATGGTGGTCTGCAGGAACATCTGTATCCCATTAGTGGTAAGTAAGAAGTCACCTTTGATGTGCATAAGCTGTGAATTGAGCTTTTTAGTTATTCGAACCAGGGTGGTGTTATTTGCACTGCATTTCTACTTGAATTAACATAATGTTGATGCGTTTTTGGGGAGTTTCAAAAGCTAGTGGAGTACAAATGGGAGTGCCCTGAAAGAAATTTGGGATACTGTAAATTCTTGTGTTAGCAAGTGTAGGAGGATTGATTTCTAGAACCCTTCTAAAATTTACATTTTTTAAGAATTTCACTAGTCCTTATACAGCTATCTAAAATGATGATCTTGACTTCTATGAAATTCTTTAGAGCTTATCTGGGCCTTCTTCCCTTAAGTGATGTTTGTTTATCCAATTGTCAGATGCTTATCTAACTTTCACCAATCAAGATCACATGCAAGCTTGGATTGTGCTCCATCATTTTACTATAGTAGGAGCACAATAACATGATGTTGTCCAAACTCTGATCATCTTTTTTTGAAACAAGATCAAAAGCCTGGTTCAGTTTGGAAGGCAAAATTGATGTAGGAGAACGGTATTCATAGCAACTGATTTGCCGGTTTCACTCTGCAGGTTCTGACAATATGAACTTTAATCTGGACTGGGAAACCAGGTTGAGAATAGCACTGGAAGCTGCTAAGGGATTGGAATATCTCCATGAACATGTTAGCCCTCCAGTGATTCACAGAGATTTTAAGAGCAGTAACATACTTTTGGACAAAAATTTTCATGCCAAAGTTTCTGATTTTGGATTAGCCAAGCTTGGATCAGACAAAGCTGGTGGACATGTTTCAACTCGAGTATTGGGCACCCAGGGATATGTTGCTCCTGAGTATGAAATAACAAACCCTTGCTAAGTTAATACTCGACAGTTTTGTTATCAAATTATATCTGCCCCATTTGACATTGGGCTTGGTTGCCATGATGTGCAGATATGCTTTAACTGGACATCTAACTACAAAATCAGATGTGTATAGTTATGGTGTTGTTCTTTTGGAGTTGCTTACAGGACGAGTACCGGTTGATTTGAAGAGACCTCCTGGGGAAGCTGTTCTTGTATCATGGGTGAGTTTCATTTCTTTTTTCTTGATCTAAATCCTGTTCAATCTCATACTTGTTGCATCTTTCTTTTTCTAGTAAATCCTTGCATCTGTTTCGGTTGCCATTCTTCAAGTTTTTGTCTCTTGTTCGAGGCACAGGCTTTACCTCAGTTAACAGATAGGGAAAAGGTTGTCGGGATAATGGATCCAGCACTGGAAGGTCAATACTCGATGAAAGATGTTATTCAGGTTGCAGCCATTGCTGCAATGTGTGTGCAACCAGAAGCTGACTACAGACCATTAATGGCAGATGTTGTGCAGTCACTGGTTCCACTGGTGAAAACTCACCGATCAGCAACCAAGGTTGGTAGCAGCTGAAGCTTCCATTACCGCAAAGTTTCCTTCATCACGAGATCCATTCACCGGAAAGTAGGTTTATCGAGAATAATCAAAACCAAAATGCCAATGGCGGTAGCTGAACTTAGGGTTATTGCTCTCGGACAACTGCTTAGAGATGAAAAGGTGTAGACTGCTAGAATATTATTAGGTCTAATGGGTAGAAAGCCCCTAACAAAGATGTGTACTACGTGTTTGATCAACAATATTCAATCAATATTATTAATCAATTGAAGTTAAGAGGTAACAAGAACACAAATTTGCTGAGGTTGGTTACTTAAGCAGATAGGGTTAGAAAGCTAAAACAGCCATAAACACCAAAACAGGCAAATTACTTTGAGATACAAAATGATATAACATGCGACATAAAAATTCATTATGCATGAATAACGATGCGGTTAGTGGATGTAAACGAGTTGAGCTTGAGAATTGTGGAGTTCGACTCGACTAGAAAACTCTAAAATAGAGCTTAACTTAGCTCGAAAATTCGTAAGTATAAAAATTTTCAAATTCAACTTGAACTTCAAATCCTTAATTGAAGTTCGAGAAAACTCGAAGTAAAAAAATTCTTAAACTTAAATAGGTTGAAGCTCAAACTCGAACTTGAACCTTAAAGGGTTGTTTGGTTCAGGGAATGTGGGATTCCCATGAGAATAGAATTCACATTCTCATGTTTGGTTGGCCGGGAATCTCATTTCCGGTAATGTTTTATTACCAATAGTGAATTTTTTTGGGGTATATTATCGGGAATGTCATTACCTCCCTTTCTTTAAATATTGTTGGATTACCGGCATTTTAGACTAAAATGTCCTTAAAAATTTTTCTCAAAAATATCATTCTTCTCTCATTGAATAATAAAATTCTAGGAAGGTTAAATTACAAATTTATCCTTAAACTATTTTCGATTTACAAAAAAAAGTCTATAATTAAAATTTTATATGAAGTTCAGGGGTTAAAATAAAATTTTACCCTTTCATTAAACCTTTTTATATTTTCAATTTTGTAAAAAAAATTATATAAATTTTATGAATTTAATTTTTTTAAAGAAAATATATAAATATTTTCCAACTTGTTAAAAAACAATTATATAATAAGGACGATTTGGTCAAATATACATTCTAATAATCTTTTATTCCTTTAACCAAACACGGTAATCTTACATTCATGCTAAACCAACCAAACACAAAATACAACATTCTCATTAATCCTATTCCCTGGTAATCTTTTATTCCCACTGGTAATCTTACATTCCGTGAACCAAACGCACCCTAAGTATATGAAAATATTAGACTATATTTTTTTTAAAATCAACACATAATGTTAATATTATTAATAATTTATTTTTTTTAAATAAAATTTTATTATATTATTTTTTTGAGTTACTCACGAACTTTTCGAATCGAGTATCAAGTAACTTGTTTCGGCTCGTTAAGAACTCGAGCTCGAGTCGAGTCTATTCGAGTTGAATATTTATCAAGCTTTGATCGAATCATTCTCAAATAACTCATAGTCTGTCTTGTCTCATTTCGGGTCCTATTTAATAAACTCTAACTACTCATAAAATCTCATTACCATAAAACAAACCATAAGAAATAGGCTTAATGCAAAAATAATTGTCCAAAATATATCCTAAATTATTTTTAGTTGCCTAAAAAAATTTTCGTAAAAGTAAGTGTCTAACGTTTCCGATGTTATATTTTTAGGTGTAACGTTTTCCTCATTATACTTTTAGTTGTCAACGGAATAAAAACCATAAAAAAATCCATCAAATTACATGTGTCATGTTTATATTTTGGCTTAATAGCAAAAATAAGTTAACTTAGGCATCTAAAAGTCTAACGTCGAAAACGTTAAATACAATTTCTTAACAAAAAATTATATAGGTATCAAAAGTTAAGGTATAGTTTGAGCACTTATAGTTACTACATAGACACCTAAAAGCGTAACGGATAAAACATTAAACACCTATTTTAACAAAAAAAAATCTTTAAACATCTAAAATTAATTTAAAGTATAATTTGTAAATTTTTTATATTAAACTTAATAAGTAAAGAGTAACGATGTATAGTCGGGAATGTATCAATAGATAAATGAAAGAACCCTAATCACTATAGATGTATCGTCAGGAATGTAACATAAACAAAATAAGATAACTGGATGTGGTGACAGCATCACAAAAATACCACTAGAATATGAGATTTTCATTCACTGAACGGATGATCCATTAAAATATGAGAATCACATCATATGTACACCAAAAGAATGCGAAATTATCATTTGTGCACCAATGAATTCCTAGAACTTTAACACGAACCATTTTATTTTAATGGCTAAACGAATTGTTATTGTTTTAGAGATTACGAATTCGAGTACTAACGACTGCAATTATGATTGAAATTCATTATCAAATAGTTAAGAGTATTTAAAATATATTTAAAGGTTTACTTTTAAGTTCTCTTAATATTTTTGTATTGTTTTTCTCTTTTCTTTTGATTTCATCGAAGATGACATTAATATTAACGTTGATTGCTTACCTCTAATGATTATTAGTTCTTTTATTTTTTTCATCATTTGTTTTCTTTTTTTTTCTTGAATTTTTTTTTAATTTTGAATAATAATCTCTATATTTGTGATATGTTTTTTTTGTTGTAAGTGTTTTCTCTATCCTATGATACGTTTCTTATGACTTTTGGTGCATTTTTTACGTACTTTTGAGAACGCTTTGGTGCTTGCAAAGATATCCTCATAATATTTACTTTTTGATTAGTTTGTCGGTGGTTATGTTTAGTTAGATCTCATATTTAATAAAAGGTTGTTTAATGATATAATAAAAAATGTAGACAAAGTAGCCTATCAGATAGTTTAATTCGTTCATCGTTCTTTTATCATTTCGTAAAATGTCTCGTTTTACAGAGATAATAAATTTGTATGAAGGTTGATATTGGTCGATATTTTCAGGAGCATGCTTCGTTCTTTTTTTGTATATTTTAATTTATTTTTTAATTTTATACTTTTTTTATGACCATCGTATCATTTTTTTCTCTCTAATGTTTAGGTGCCTTATAATTATGATATCTTCCATTATTTTTATTAATAAAATTCAATTTTAATTGTTTAAAAAGAAATACAAACCCAAACCATATGTGATTGAACTCGAATCTATTGGTATCCTTCAAGATTTGCCCGTTTGTTAACGGAGACGTTGAACAGATGTTGAGGTCGCTTCACAGTTCTTTCTCTTCTCTAGAGATCTCTCTCCGTCGCATTCTCAGCTCAATATATCAAATTTTCATCTGCTAAAAAATGGCGGCCGTCGCCGTTCACCAGTTCGCTCAGTGCATCACTTGCCATGCTTGGAGTCCCGATCAATCCATTAACTTCTTATGCTCATTTTGTTTTAAATTTCGAAATTCCGTTCCCACTCTTCATCTGTATGTTTTGTTTGGTTGCTATGAACATGTAGGAAATAAAAAGAAAATAATTTTCATTTTTTTTACATTTAAGATTAGGGTAAATTATAGTAATGATCACTAAATTTTTTAAAGCTTTCATTTAAGTACTCAACTTTTAAAACTTACAATACAATCTTCAAACATTTAGTTCGTTTACAATATAGTCCCCGAAGTAACTTTTGGAGACCATATTACAAACGAATTAAATGTTGGGAGACTGCATTGCAAGTTTTAAAAGTTAGGATCTAAGTGAAAGCTTTAGAAAAATTCAGTGATCATTACTATACTTTACCCTTAATAAAATAAATAAAATAAAATACCAAGATTGCTCTTTTCTCTCTTCCCCCAATCTCACCTTCATCGTACCCTCACCCCTTTTCTTAGCCCCAACACCATTGTTTCCAAGCGATAGCATTGAAAAGAAGAGAGAAAGAGATGAGATTGTTAACTCACAACATGTTATTGTCGAACATCAAAGGGGTAACCAATGGTTTTTCTCTGAGGATCCAAGTGGAGAAAGTGGTGGAGAAGGAAGTCGAAATCAATCACGATTTCCTCAAGAACATATTTCCAAAGGTCGATTCAATGCTTCATGAATAATGGGGTACCATGAGCTCCCGAAAGAGCCGTCGGAGCTGTCAGTGTTGGAGTTGGACATTGAGTTTTTGAGGAAGTTTCATCATGCCCTCTTAGAGCTCCATCTCGAGAAAGGTGTGCTTCTTTGCCACGAGACAGTTCGAAAGTTTCCTGTTAATAAGGGAATTTCGAATATGCTTTTACTTGAGGATGAGGTTTGGGAAAATGGTTTGGTGTTTGATACAATTGAGTTTTAGGGTTATGAGTTTTAATTAGGGTTTCATCTCTCTCATTTTGTGCTGCTGTGCATAAATTTTTAGTTATTGTATGGAATCTGTTGTCTTAACTAATGAAAACATCATGAGTTTGACAAATTGAAGATCTGAAAACAAACAACTGCATTTCCTTTAAAAAGAAAACCATTGTTAAGCTCCAAGTTGGGTAAGTATTTGCATTTTTCATTCATTTTCTTCATTGACGGTTTTTCTTAACCTTTGTTTGTTTACTTGGAAAATCTCGTAGAAAGCTTCGATTTGTATTGCTTTTGATATTTCAAATATGTGTTCTTTGAAGCTAATTTCTGAGAAATTATATATTTTAAGCTCCAAGTTGTATTTTTAGGGTGAAAATGCAACCTTTTTTAATCAATCTTTGCCTTATCATTGAAGATTTTGAGCTTCAAACTGTGGGCTTAGAGAAAGAAAACAGGTGTGTGTTGGGGGTTAGGGAAAGGGGTGGTGTTACGGTGAAGGTGAGGTTGGGGAAGAGAGAAGGGCAATTTTGGTATTTTATTGATTTTCTTTTATTAATTATTTTTAGGGTAAAGTATAGTAATGGTCATTAAACTTTTCTAAACCTTTCATTTAGGTCCCCAACTTTTAAAACTTGCAATACAGTCCCCCAATATTTAGTCTGTTTGTAATATGGTCCCCAACATTTAGTTTATTTGCAATATGGTCCCCCAAGTAACTATTGAGGGATCATATTACAAATAGACTAAATGTTAGGAGACTATATTGAAAGTTTTAAAAGTTGGGGGACCTAAATGAAAGATTTAAAAAAATCAGTGACCATTACTATACTTTACCCGTAAGATTATTGTGATGTTGTATTCGTCTTAGAAATGTAAAATTGAACTGGAAATGAAATAAATGATTCGATTTTACTATTTCTTTACATTTCAGTTTCCCATCCTGCATGGATCCGTTTTTAATTATTTTTTCCCCTTTTGAAGCTTATATTAATACATGTTTTAGAACAAAATATTTGGTCCCTATTATCCTAAATTGCAGGAGATTATGTGTTCTGTGAATTCTTTTCTACATATTTAATTTATGATTCTCCTGCCTGCAGTGATAGCATTTTGCCCAAATAATAACGAGGTTCACATTTACAAATTGCTGCAAGACAAGTGGGAGAAAGTTCATGTTCTTCAGAAGGTACCTTATTCAAAATTTTCCCTATAAACCACTAAGATATGATTTACTCCAATTATATATGCAGTATGTCTGAACTCATCTCTGGAAGTTCTTTGAACCTCAAATGGTTAGGAGGCCCAATTCCATGTGCAACCTGTTCGTGTTTCTTTTTTGGACATTAATGTATTGAAATTGAAACTGGATAGCCCTTATTGATGAATGATCTGAAATTTACATTTTTTTCTCTTTTTTATAGATTTTTTTAGTTTTATAACATATTAGTTTCCAGAATGACAAGGTAATTTCCTTGGAAAGCAACCTTGTTTTATGGTTTTCAATTGTCAAAATTCCAATTCCAATTAGAAAGGAAACATTTTGCCAGTACAGCAATATAATTTTTTCTCTGCAATTCTGTGTTCTATAGTGAGTCTTCTCCTTGCCCAGGTAATGATATTTTTTTTATAACCTTGTAATAATAAAAAATGTTGCAAAACATTCTAGTGACGAAGTGCATCTTGGTAAAGTCTGTATGATGTCAAAATTTTCATTAGTAGCAACAAATATAATCTTAAATTATGCTATACAGGCACACATTGTTGTATCCTACGTTGCCTCTTGTTTTAAAAATTATAGTTTTTATTAAGACTATCGGAAAACTGATATCCTGAAAAGTTAGAACATGTTGGAATTGCAATTAGTTTTCATTTGAGGGGTTAATCGACATGTTGAAGTTAATTCTTAATAATTTCCTTTGAGTCAAAAGAAGTAGAGCCATGGAAGGATAACTTCTATATTTTGTTTAATCAATTGGTCCAAGTATTTAACTTTAAGGAAGAATGCTGAATTGTTGTTTTTTTTATGTATATGAGTTTCTTGAAATTTGGAGTTGAATCAATTAATTACCTAAATTATTCATGCCTCAGATGGACCCATGAATATTTTTATTGACTACTTTATCTATGCTCAATTGACTTGCTAAATTCTTATTTATTCCTTTAATTTAGTTGAACTCGGGGTTCTGCAGTTTCATTAACATTTTTTCAATGCAAAGAAGAGCTAACATTTTCTTTTTCTTCCTCGGCACTTATTCAACAGCAAATACTTCAGCTTGATCTGTCGTCGTCATGGGCATTTGGGGTGAACTGGTCACCAAGTGGAAATACTTTGGCTTATGTAGGTAAGAAATATTTCTATCTATTTTTCATTTCCATAGATAAAGTTTGTGGCATGGTATTTATTAACTTAGAGAGAATGTTTTTCCCCTTATCCCCTTAAACAACCAATTTTGCATTTTGACTTGGTTAATTGTTTGTTTAGTTTCTAGTTTAGGGAAATTTTGTTGGAAAGTAATCCAACTTTACATTTAATTTTTTGGTTGGCCAATAGACGTCATTGCATGAAACCTCTAAACTAAGTTGGTTGTGCCTAAATTTTAATCCAACTTCGTCAATCTCCCCCAGATACCTTTTTAGGGGAACATTTATTTTTTGTCTTAGAGCTTCTTGTAAAAGTTTCCTTGACCACTATTTATCTATTTACAGGTCATAATTCTATGATTTACTTTGTTGATGATGTCGGTCCTTCTCCTTTGGCCCAGAATGTTGCATTCCGTTATTTGCCTCTTCGTGATGTGGGTCAGCGTTCACTCTTGTTAACTGCTTTTGTTTCCCTCTATTTTGGGCTTAATCATAAGCATTATTTTTTATCTTGATTTTTATGCAATCTCATAAATTTCCATCAGGTCCTCTTTGTTTCTGAGAAAATGGTCATAGGTGTGGGATTTGATTGCAATCCAATGGTTTTTGCAGCAGATAAATCAGGATTATGGTATATAAGATTCATTGTCATTGAAATTTCCAAACTTGCTTAATTATATCAATAAGGTTTTTGATCTTGTTTTCTAGGAGCTTTATCAGATTTTTAGGTGAAAGGAAAGAATCTTCATCAGGTCCAAAATATGGATCTCAGGTATTTATGTATAAGACTTTTAGCTATTCAGATTCTGTAAGGGTGGGGGTGAGGCTGGGGGAAGGGGGAAGGGGCAAGGGCAGATGTTTCTGAGACTGAACAGATCGCTTCCAGGTGTGTTTGTTTAAGGAAATAATTTTTTGACACGGCTCTTTTTGGGTAATAAGCTCAGCAGGTCTACTCACTTGGGTGAATCGTGCAATGCTTGATACGTAGTAAAAGGATAATTTGACGGGCACCATTTCTTGAAGTCTGCACGAGTTAATATCATTTGAACATTATTTACCACTGCATTAATGTCTGTCACAATTTTTATATCCAGCTGTCTTTTTGTTATTCCTCAAACCCCGATATAGCTGTTTTCATTTTTTATTTCTTCAGAAACTGTTGTTTCTTGGCACTGAAAATAAGAAAATGAAGCTCACTGCAAGTATCATTTTTCCCTAGTGGCACCTCGTCCTCCCAAGAATGCGGGGGAAAGTTTTAAAGCCTTGGATTGGAGCCATATCATTTTAATTTTACCTTTTTATTTCTTTCTTTCTTGGGAGGAAGGGAAATGTGTTACAGAAGTTGTGGAAAATGATGGGGAAAAGGTTATTTAAACAATTACTTCCATGACTACTGTGGACTGAAGTTACATTAAATACAGGTTGGGTGGTGTTGTAGTAGTTAGGGAAAGGCATGGAGAGACGGTTAGATTCCATTATTTGAAACATTTTTAATAGCTTCAAGAGAATGAAAATGGCTGATATGTAGAGCTACTTGGGATCTTTAAAAGAAACCAGCGCAGCCAAGTTTTGTGTGTATTGTTTATACATATCATTTCTGTCTCTGAAACTCACTGGTAATTTAACGTTCCTTGTGAATAGTTTTAGGTTGAGCTTTTGCATTTTCTCATTCTTTTCAGATTTCTGGAGCATTTGGCAAATTATACGGTCAATCAAAGCAGGGATTGAGCAATGATACGATTGAACCTTCTAAGATTCAGGGAGCTGCTCATGACAACTGCATTAAGTACTTCTCTGCCCATTTTGTTATTATTGAATATGACATAGTTTTTCTCCGAAAGAAAAAAGAATGAATAATTGATGCAAAGAAGTTCCTTTTCCCCCCCTAAAGAATGAAGCTTAATGTTATACATTTTCTCTTGTTAAAACTGCAGTTGTATTGAACTTCTAAAACAAAAAGGTCCGAAAACAAAGCGCTTCAGCACATCAGGTGAGTTCGCTGCTTTTGCTATTTAGAAACTGTAAACTTTCAGGACTAGGAATCAATCTCAGATGGGGTTTTTGGACACATATTTATCATTATTACGCTGTTCGAATATTTCAGGAATGGACGGAAAAGTGATAATTTGGGATCTGGAAAACCAGCAAGATCTTAGGGAGTATCTCTAAGAAGTGCTTCGTGAATTGTTTTCTTTTTCCCTTTCGGTCAGGTAACAGAATAACCATAGTAGTGAAGCATGTGGTATACATAATATATATACGCATATATGTGTGATTCTGTAATCTTAGGAGAAAATGAAAGTTATAATACATTATTAGGTTTATTTTTATGTTTGATTTAAGTGCAGCGGAATATTAGTTCAGAACTATAATAGTGAAGCATGTGGTATATATATACCCATCTTTAAAGGGATCTCCTCGTCTTCCACAACTTGAATTAGTCTCATTGTAATCAACATTAGAATCTGAGATTTCATGGTTTTTTTTCTGTTGATTACGTCTTTTATAGTTTAAACTAGTAAAAACTACTTTTTCATTTTGTTTTTTACGTCACTAATTGCTTCATAATTAATTTCTAAACAACTAAAAAGTGCCATTTGGCTCGGAAAAAAAGGAACCTTCTATTTCATAATTTGATGTAGCAGTAATATTTCCAGGCTTGAAATAAAACAGAAAAATCTCATAATTAAAGCTCCATAGCCATTTGCCATTCAAAAATCATTCTTTACCCATGCTTAATAATGCCCACAACCTATATATCATAATTGAATGCTATATCATATATACTATATATCAACCATGCAACCGACAACATATCCAGAACAAGCACTATGAATTGTTTGTTCTTCATACATATTTTTACCATAATATACATTCAGCAGGAGGGTGTCACCTTTTGGTCCCGAGCTGGCCTCCGGTGTAAGTCTGTCCAAAGGACCAAGTCGATGGAGCAACGTTGAAAGAAACAACACTGTGACCATTACTGGTTGTGACAATAAAAGAGAGGCTCTGGCCATTAAGGTAAGAATTGCTTTGCCAGTTCTGGCCCCAGTTCCTCGACATTTGTTGCCATCTGGTCTTTGAACCTTTAATGGCCACCGAATGAACATCCCCGGCACCTCCAACGTTGGTGACCAGCACCAAATTGAAGTAGGAATGTCCATTGATTGTGAACCTTATACCCCCACTTCTCCTACACTTCACCCTGAGGAAAAAAAAAACAAAGGTTTAAATTGCAAGGGTGTCGGTGGAAACAGGAAAATGAATATTTGAAAAATATTTTGTTTTTAATTTGATCATTGAAGTTTAATTTTTTTAATTTAATAACTAAACTTTTAAATTGCTAATGTTTTGATCACTCTCTAATGACATGAATTATTTTAATATTATTTTTATTATGATATTGTATATTTTACTAATATTTAATGTCTAATGTATTTTAAAATAAATAAAATAAAAATCTTTAAACCTCCAAATCATAAACCCTAATTCATACTCATTAAAATCCCTAATTCATCCTGAAACTTCGATGGTGGGGTCGTGTGGTGGTTGTGATTTGGGGTTTGACTGTAGCAATTTGGGGTTTGGGTGTTGTGACTTGGGATTTAAGGTTCTAATTTAGGGTATTAATTTTTTTATTCTAATTCTATGTGGCAAAGATAATAATAAAATATGAGACATCATTAAAAATACTAATAAAATAAGTTAGAGTGATTAAAATAAGAGTAATTTAAAAGTTTAGTTATTAAATTGAAAAGTTTTAATATTTAGTGACTAAAATAAGAGTAAAAAGATAATTGAATGAAGAGTGGTTGTAGTTTACCCTTTGTTTTCCTTTGTTTACCTTCTGTAACTAACGGGGACAATACCGGCTCTGTATTGGGCAATGTGTTCGAAAATCGGCTGCGAGAGGTCGAAGTGGTGATTAGGAGGGTCACACCAGCCTCCCGGAGGGCAGAAGTTAGTGGCGGTGACGACAATGGAGCCGGGAAGGCACCATTGTGGGTCATTCACACACTTGAGCTCATAGCATGCTCCACAGCTCAACCCATTGTCAAACAAGGCAGTGCTCAAAGCTGCCGTGTTAATACCATAACCTTGGCTAATTAGGTTCCCATAGCCACAAGCTCCACCTATAGCATATACCAAGAATCAATAAGAACAAATATATATCGACCATCACGTCTGCAGGATGTTTAAACGGTCATTATCAAATGATTTAGAATTTTTCATATACATACTACCTTATAATCACCCTAGACTAATATATATATATATATATATTTGGATTGTGAGAAGTACCCATTGTGCCAGAAGCATCACCACCTCCATAGAAAGTGGCATGAGCGTTGATCCATGGTCCAAGGGTTCCATGAACAAAGTTGAGGAGTGAGAGTAATACAGCTACAAGGAAGTACCCCAAGTGCCTCATTGTTCTGCATATGAAAAAAACATACTCCATTAACTTAAAGTCTATCAGTAATGAAGAACTGGAAGAGCAAATGGAAGATTGGGAGTAACAATTTAACCTTGAGAAAAAAGTTTTGTTGAACAGAAGGGGGTGTTTGAACTAATAAATAGAGTGCAGCAGTGATGTCTGTAATGTAAAATTTTCATTTTTGCAGAACTTACTCTGTTTAACTTGCGGTCGTTCTTTAGTAGTCAACTTCAACACTGACTGACAACAACTTGACGACATTGGGACCAAGCAACGCGATGGTGGCTTGCAAGGCTCAAACCGCGTGGGTTTGTTGTGGGACAAGCAGCCATGAATCCTTAAGTGGGGTTTACAATATTGGGTGAATGATGATGGAGACTAGAACAGAACTGGGTTTATCTAAGAGTGAAAAAAACTTGGTTACTGTGAAGATCTCTTTGGGGCCAATAATGGTGAAATATGAGCTTTCATTTGATCCGGTGAAGAACAAATTCAATTCTTGCTCTAAGAGCAAGCAAAGGACGCTTCTTTTCCAAGTCATTCTACCATAGCTACACAAATTCCAATTTGATCCATTTTTCCCCATTTTGCAGGCATTATAACAGAATTTCTAGAGGGGTTTTTGGTGTCCTGTTAGTATAAACATGGCCAAATTTACATAGTATAACATTAAGATCAAATTGAATTTATTGAACCGTATAGGTGGTAAGCAGTTTGATATCGTTTAAGTAGGTTTTGAGTTCAAGTTTTTATATATACAGAAAATCCCTACCGGAAGATTCACTTACCAAAGCTAGATGTGCGACCCGGCAAAGCCTTGAGAACCGGAATGGCAACAAAATAAAAAGGGACTATTGTTCTTCTTAGAGATTCTGAATTCGAACAATAACATATGCAAGAAATACGTTGTCAATAGCTAAGAAAGATTATAAACATATATACTATATTGTAATCACGTCTCATATTATAAAATAAAAATATTAATATCAAATATGTCACGTAATTAATTTTTTTTAAAATTGAAATTTATTATTGATATATATATTTTGAAAAACTAATTTTAAGAGTTAATTAATTATAAATTCAAGTGGTTTTTGACTTACTTCATTATTAATTTTTTGAAATATTTTTATGTTTAATTTTATGGGTTTTAAAAATATTTTAAAAAGATATATAGATTAATGAAGTGATAGAAAATGAAGAAACAATTTCATTAATTTTAGGATGTTCACAAAAAATTTCGAAAAATAGTTATTTTCAATAGTGATTAATAATATATAAAATACTTATAACTTTGATGAAGAATACAATTAAATGAAACAAAAAAAATGAACTTTTTGACTTTATATTATCTCACGATAAAACCTTACTATCATGTCATCCAACTTTTAGTGAATTAATGTCCAAGTGCTTATATTGTAGTCAAAATCAAACTTTAATACTAAAATTATAATATTTTAAAATTTAATAATAAAATCGATATAAATTTTAACGTTAAATGACATATAAGATACTTTACATTTTATTTATTTACAACCGGCAAAAACTTATCGGTTATCCTTTATGATTTAAATTTCAAAATACCTAATCTTTAATCTTTTAAGTACTTAAAAGAATATTTTTGATAAAAAAAATATTTTTTAATATTTTAAAATTAAGAAAGAACATTTTTACGAAAATGCATGGTCACTTTTGACAAAATAATTAACAAAAATGAAGTACTGATACCAAGAATCATACATAATTGCCTGACACAGAACATGCAACTGTTAACAAAAAATACCTACAGTATTACTGTTTATGCTTATTGTAGGACCAATACAGGGAAAAAAAAATCATTAATGAGTGCATCGTGTAAGCATGTTCATGAGAGTTTTACAAAACAAATATTGGAAAAGACTTGACAGATAAATTGGTTGTTCTTGTACCTCTTCCACAAACTACACTTATTTTATTATTCTCTCTATATATTTTGTGACTCTTTCGTACAAAGAGTCATGAAGTTTCCGTAACTTTTCTTAAGATATCTCATGACTTTTTTAGAGGTAATTTCGTCCTTCGCTCCACGCAGTTATAATTTTTCGATATGATCACTGTCAATTTCATCACCAATTAAATTTATTATAGGTCAGCAATGTATATCTATTTGTCAACACATCGATAGACATTAACTCTAGAACTGACATTAGTCACCTTATTGTGTGGTGGCATTAATTCTAAGATTTACACCAATCGTCCTATTGTCTGGTGTCAGGGACATATATGCCATGCACTCACATAAGCAAGGTTAGAAGAGGATTTTCAATCCCACTCTCGCTTTTCATCGTATCTTCTAATCTTTTTTTTTTCGAGACTATCATCGATTGCAACTCTCCGCCTACTTAAAAAGGATAAATTGTCTAAAACCACCACTTTGTTACTCAACCCCTCAACGGTTGCAAATAATGAAAGAACCATCATCTTTAAAGAAGAGATAGGAGCCTCGACTGAAAAGCCTAGCCCTTTAAGTTACACAACAAGATAAAATATGCAATACGCATCTTGAAATGCCAATATAAGAATTAAATCATTCAAAAATAGAGTGTCACTCATCATGATGACTTATGATTTTATGTTAGAGACGAATTTTAAAATTTTAGAAATAGACAAACTTAGAAAATTTCATGGGCCAAAACAAATTTTTAATACAGAATGTATAAAAGATCTAAAATATATGATAATTTTTAATTTTCAGGTGGACGACTGTCTCATCCACCCCTTGATCCGTCGATGATCACTCGTATATTAATTAGCGTTTGTGAGATAGGGGACAATATCAATTTGGAAACCTAGCAAAATCACAATGTGGGTTCA